TTCATAATGAATTTTAAATTAAACATTAGCTGCTTCAGTTCATTTACATTTAATGCAATTTAACATGTTAATTAAATAGAATATATTTAAATTTAATGTATTTGAAACACAGTTCGATATAAATTACCATAACATTATATAATTTTCTAATCATCCAAAAACAATTACTTTCCTAGTCAATCATTATCTCGGTTGAGCAGAAATAAATTTTCAATTAATTATGTATTGATTAACATACAACTTTATCTAGATATTTTAAATTTATAAGATCGATACTTTCTCTCTTTTTCTTTATACGTCTCTTTAATTATTTTTAAGACAAAAGTTAGAAAGTCTTCGAAGAGCCAATTAAATAGGATTGTGACTGCGAGCAGTCTGCCAGAACTGGCTGGCATGTAATGTTAAACAGCTGTTTGTAATATATTATTTAGACAAGATCCTGAAGCCACGGCACCGCAAGAAGCAGTGATCGAGTACCCCTATGCGTTTTCCAGAGGTGCCACGTAGACGGGCGGTAGAGTAGTTACATCCGTTTCGAAACCGGGAAAACATCCCCCTCAATGAGACGATGCGGTTACGTAGTTACTTCTCTCCCCGGTGCTGTTCTCTTGGCTGTACTTACGTGTCCCGAACAGATTACAAACGACGAGCGCGGTATTACAACCCGCAAATTACGCGCCTCCGTTTGCCACCTCCCTTCGCTAGTTTCCCCGACTGCTGCAACGCAAATGTGCCGGTCCAGGACCGGTGGATTATATCCTGACTGCGAAAGCTTCCAGCCTCCACCCTTTCGTATTCCTCGAATGCGCGGAGAGCCGGTTGACATTTTCGAGATTGGACATATTAACCGTCATTAGAGTAAACGATCCAAGGTATTTGTGTAATTGGTATTATGGAGAATGACGACTCATAAGACATCATGGAGATATATGTGTAGAAATAATAAGTTTTAATTAATTTAATGTCTACTTCTTTTTATGCATTAAAATAATAGTAGACATATGTATATAAGTGATAGATATAATTATATATATAAAATTCTCGCAAAAAATTACTAAATAATAATACAAAATATTTATAAACTATAAATATCGCAATAATTGCAACGGATTTAATAATTTAATTATAATAAAAATTAAAGGAAATAATTCAATGTTTGAGCGAATGAAAATTGGAATGTTGGGAGCAAAGGAAAACATGTAATTTTCACATGGAAAGTAAACGTCGTAATACACAGGAGAGTATTTCTTTCGTTCATAAATTACAATATTCGTGGACCACCCTCGTTGTTAAGCGAATGCGTTTTTCGCTGTGTGGAAGCTGCGCAAAATTCATTTACGGAATTAATACCGCGGATTTGGTTAAACGAAGAATTACTGCGTGTCGCGCATCTGCCTTAATTGCGCGAACAATATTATTCGCGTGTTGGGAGGCCGATCCATAGGAATAACGGATAAGTTTACATCGCTATTCTTTCGCTTTCAAATTAACGAAACCAAAATCAATTAGCGCATTTTATATAAGAGATTTTATCTCTTGCAATACTTTTTTTACACGCATCGGAAATATTTTATCATCATTTAAATATATAAAAATTGATAACATTCGTAATTTAAAAAGGATAGAATAAGCTTTTAAAATGTATATATTTTACAAGCATATGAAATATATAAATATTCTTTTCACAAATATAAGTACAATATACAATATCTACATTTAACATTATTTTTATTTTTATACATTATAAATTTGTATCACAAATTGTAAATGTTATTTCTATAAGCAATAAACGGTACGGTATCGTGTACAAAGATTTAATTTTGCGCTGCGGTTTAATTTTCTGGAACACTGGATTCTGGAACATGGGATGCTACATGCGTATCCAAAATCCTCAATGCGCCCCAGGGTGATCCTTTTCGCTTTCTCAGCCCGTAATAACGCGGGAAAAGGAGTCTGCGTATTACGTTTGATTAATTAATTTACGCCGGTGGAACGCCGGATTATACGAACCCGAGGGCTACAACCTCTCCTCCTATCTCGCTTTTCTCGCAAAGAAACAAAGTAAACAAACGATTCCATCCGCTTTTCCAGCTGCCGTTATACACCTAATGGCATTAACATTAACCGGGACAACGGTTATGCAGGCAAGCAGGTAATTGCATCGTGTAAATTTGCTAAACAACGTGCCGCATTTCACACGGAGATATGTTTCTCTCGAGATAGTATCTTCATCGTTGGAAAATTGTATAAAATTCATGTAATTATTATTCTTTTAACGTTTCCATTTTCTAAATTATACTTTTTGAGATATTATTTAACAGTTACAAGAAAAAAATAAATTTATTCTATTATATATTTTATTAATAATGACAAAAATTAATATTAGTTTCATTTTAATATTGAATTTTTATAAAAAATATTAAAAATTGAATAAATATCTTACCTTTATTCTTGATCGTCCAATTACAAATTTGTTCATTTATAAAACAAACTTTTTTTTAATATAATTAAAATGTTATTTCACACAAATTCGTGTAAAATAAAATAGAACTTGAAAGATCGCAATAAAAAAAAAGATAAAACAATTGTAATATATCGCTGGACACGATTTCTAAGATAATTATGAATAATTGAGAGGAAAGAGAAAGATTCTGAACAGAAAGAGAGAGAGAAAGAGATGCGCTAGGAAATGTCTACTACGAGAAGGGTTGTTTTCTCGTAATTTTCTGTTAGAAAAAACAGCACATCGGAACGTATTCACGAGAAGCGTGAGAATTAGTATACGAGCATTAGTTTTTGCGAATGTGAGAGTCGAGGAACGAGTTGCATCCGCGATGCATCTTCGTGCGCCATATTTCACCGCGTGAGGTTTGCGAGTTCACATTACCAGAGGAGGATCTGTTTGTTTCAGTAGGTCTGTAGAGCGGTGAGAAATATAGGGGTGTTCGCACACGAATGTCGTTACAAACGGCTGCAGCAACTGCAGTTGATACTAATCGGCGGAGTCGTGGGGTGGAGCAATTAATGTTAATATTAGACGGAATAATTATGCACAAATATCACGGGAAACTAAAGGAGTGGTAACATACAAAATTAGTACACATGTTCTGGTATTAAGTATTTATTACATACAAGCATTTTTTACAATATGAAGTATTTATTTCTTTTTTTTAAACATGACTGATGATATTTAGCATTTCTTTTCGTTATTGTATATTTAGAAACATTCTCTCGTACTCTATTTAATTATTATTATTATTATGTATTCTCTTAGAATAGTTTTAATAGACTCTCAACCAAATCTAATAAAAATAGTATATGTGTACACGAGACGCAGGGGATAATATACGGTGTTCAAACGATTAATAAATATATTTGTCAAAAAAGAGAAGGGAAAACTAATATAAATAGCTTGATACAATAAATCATAACGAATGCGCGGCGATTATGGCCTGTTATAGAAATTTTACAGGGCAAACACAGAGGCAATTTCTCGTGTGAGAGAACGAGTGATAAAACATATATCAATAAATCTATTATTTCAAGCTGTATAATGCTTTTGTTGCTTTGAGACATTCTCGGCGCGTAAACAGTATTACTCGCGATGCAACATGCGTCTGTATAAACACACTCAATAATACAATCTAAAACGATCAATAACTGTCGATAAAAATATATATCAATAGTTTATGAAAAAATGTACCGATCATTCATAGACAAAAGAATCTCTCTTCAATCCCCGAAAAATAGGTCACAATATTACGCAAATGTGCGAACAAAGGAAAAGCTTAAATTTGAACCGAAACGATAGTAATAAAAAAATTTCAATTCATACTACATGTATAACTCGATGAATTCTTTATATAGCTATAATAAAATGCGCATAAAAGAACGGGGAGAAACGGGAAAGGGAATACATCTCGCGCGCAAATGTACGAGAAAAATTGAATAACAAACGTACACTAATTCTATCTTTCTCTCTAGTCTCGACAATCATCTTTCTCGACCATGTTTTCCGAATAAAATCAGGGTAACAGAACTCATTTTTCTATCCTCGTTATTTGTTGCCAAATTCTACGTGATATTGCACGATTTACAATAAGGTAAGCACAAAATATAAAATATGCTATATCGATATCATTGCCATAATATGTTTGTAATGCAAGTAATGATAAATAACTCGCATCTCTTTCGGACGTTTATATTGCAGTGATATTTGCTGTCGCATTATGCATTAATATTGCAATATCAATTGTATTTTTCTTCGTCGAGTAAAGCGCAATTAATCCCTTCCGTAACATTTTTCGTGTAACAACTCTTAGAATTAACGTTACTAGATCGTCACTTCATTAACTTATGTAGCGGCTATCTCACAAAGCACTCAACTCATCGTCATTGTTATCATCGTTATCATCTTCATCATCACAGCTAGAGAATTCATGCTCGATTCACGAAGAAACGTAACAATAGCGAAGTCTAGCGGAAACCTAGAGTATACCAATGGTACGTAGGCCTTCTAAATGAAATACGATAAAAAAAGAAAGAGAAGAAAAGAAAATAATAAGATTGCTTGACTAGTGAGCGCACGCCTCGAAATCTGATATGGAAGGAAAGTAATTTTCTCTTTGTCTAAGGTTACTTACTTCCATGTCGTATCCGTAGAATGTCTCTCGCATCAGATGCGATAACGCGCTTAGATCCACTCGTCTATCATGAAATTGTTACAGGACAGTACCTCGCTATGCTATCTCTTATCTTAAGGACATTCTCTAATCTGTCGTTTTAGCAGATACGTTCTCAGCGACTTTAATCCGACTTTAATATTTCTTTTCTTTTTTTTCCTTGTGCTATATAATTGTATTTTCTTCGCGCGATTCTAAATTCTTTCGTCTCTATTGATTAGTATCTTGAAAATTTTACTTGTAATTTACATACGTATATGTGCGGTAAAGATGAAACCATACGTGTATGTGAGAAAAAATTAACTTCATGTCGATTTGTTATTGTGTAATATGTCTGTGTATTCGAAAATAATGTGTTACAAATAGGCCTCAACCCCTTCCAAAGGTCCTTTCAAAAGTTACCTGTTTACCTAATAGCGTACTACGACACACAGATTGAGTGTCCACTTTTGCTGTTGCATAATATAATAATTAATTAATATTATATATTATTTTACACTTTTATTTTCCCGATTAGGACGCTCAAAACTCGATACGTGAAGCCCGGGGAAGGCCTTTATCCGATATGGCGTCCTTTTTCGCTCCTCTTAGATATCCTTTCCTCACACGATACATCGCACGCGACAGCCATTATTTACACTATTAGAAACGATCTCGTTTTGTGTATAGCTATCGCTCGTCACAAGCAATTTGGTTACCGATTAACCACCTGCTTCTCCTCCATTTGTCCGGGAACGTTTAAGAGACACTTTATGAGAGTAGATCTGTAGGCAGAAAGAGAGAAATAGACAGCGTTTAATTCATTTTTCAAAAATATCTTTCCAATTAAAATGATATAGTCTATTTAGTTATAAATAAGGCAGAGTTCAAAATACTGATATATGATTCGATTTTTTTATAAAAAAATTCAATGATGAAAAATATTTCAATAAACTTGAGATGTTCTACATATGGCTAAATCAAGTTTGGTCTACATACCTGGTACTTGATTGTTGTCCTGTGGCTTGTTTATGAAATTGTCTTGGAACGGATTGATGTTGGCGTTAGCAGCGGCGGGTACAAAACCCATTGGAGTAAACGGCATCGCCGTCGGATTTAGATTGGAGTTGAGGGTATCTTCGTTTGCCAAATTAGGTGTCAGTTCTAGTATCGACTCAGTATTGTAGCCGCTACTGTTATTACTCAGAGTATCGAAGCTCGACAGGTCTAACAGGTTGGTCACGTTGTTTTGCTTGCTACAAAACCAGTCAAGGAACAAAAATACAAAGACTAAGTTAACAGCCAGACAAACCGACTAGGGACTACGACTTAAGCGACTATTCACAATCACTAACACGAAATCGCTGCCGCTAAATTAACTAAGCCGACTGCGAGCGATTCGTTAATATCAGATAGTTAAATTACTAAAATGAAATTAATTTGAACTTTGTCGAATAGGAACAGCGCGGTTCTAGATAAATCTAAAAATATTTCATTAAACTGAACGATATAAAGCTAGATGAGATAACTAAATAACACATGGATAAATATATATGTATATATAAAGCGCTTATTATATGCATCGTTTTTCTATGTCATATATCATACTGACTGCTTTTTAAATTGCGAATTTTAAATGCCACAAAAGGCAACTGTTTTGATGTAACTATCAAAACAACTATCGCATAAGCGATTAAATCTAATAGAAATTATTTTTGTATATCAGTACTAACCGAAATAGTCCACAACCTTTTGTGGTCCTTTGTGGTGAACATAAATCTGTATATGACCGAATAAAAAAATTGTTGGAATACAACTAATATGTTACATAATATTTCATCAATGGATCGCAATAGGTTTTCGTTTAAATAAGATACTATGAAAACCAGTTCATTAAAGAGATACACGTCAACTTTATAACCATAATAATTATAATTTGCTAGAACATATTATACAGCAAAACAGCAAATACAAATCTAATTACATACAAAATTAAATCACAATTGATCACTCGTCGAGTTACACGAAGTAGTAAAAAGTACACGAGAAAAAAATTCATGCCGCGTTTAATTTCTTTCTTTTCTTTTTTTTTATATCTGTACCTTTGTGTAGAATATGTGAATGTGAAAGTGTTGTGAATGTGTATAAGGAGTTCTTCTCACAAAAAGTATTATATCGGAAAACATGTAGAAGTAAATAGTACATAGCAAAAGTAGGCAGTAAGTTGACATATACCACTTGATGGTATCCAATACATAAGCATATGAGGGACGCAGACAATTATTGTGCAAGGAAAAGAACAAGCCACACCATATCAATGTTAATTGGTAACATGCATTGGTGATTTGCAAAGTTTGTTGCGAAAATCAATCGCACTTACGGTATACATAATGGGTCAGTAAATGGAAGAACACTTTTTAATATCTAATTGGAGGAAAAAGTCACAGAAAAATACTCAGCAAAGATGATATATTTATTAAATGTTATAAAATAAAAATATTAATTGTTATTATTGCCTTTCCTATACTGCAATTGCGATATATTGTTATTCTGCTTCTAAAATCATATTAACACGATTCATCCTTGCTGAGTTGGCAAATGTATTGTGAAATCACAAAACGAAACGTTTCAATGAGTCATTAAATTTATACTGCTGGTCTCTCTTTACATTATGTACACTTTTATTTATCGTGTGATTTAATGCTAACTGTGTAGTGTTGATGACTCTCTTCATGCTTCATGTACAATATTACATGACGTTCTTCCAACTCGCTGACATAATTCCTAAAAATAATTGTAGTACGTACGCGACTAATTTTCAATAATCCTAGCTAAAAATAGCATATTTGTCGTTAGTACATAGCTGAATATCAATTATAAAATATATGTAATTATTACAATAGATGATACAATGTACATTTTCATACTTGCAATCTCATTATCGCTAATAGTGTTAGTCGCGTAATTATTATTAGTTAATACGTTTATAATCGTGCAGCGCGCTAATCCGTATTGTAAATGGCGATTTGTAAGGGCGTGCTCATTATATATTTGTCAACCGTTGTTCTGACTACTTTTGCAATGTACAATATGCCTGGTTATTTATAAAGCGGTAAATATTCGGTGAAATTAATTTCAATAGGCAGTCCTTTCATTGGGTCTCAGGAAAGCGCAGTAAACTTTTTACTAGATAACTATTTATAATATATATATGTATAATGTGTACATATGTATACATGTATATATAACTTTCAAACTTAATTAATTTACTTCAATATAATTAGTTGACATTACAAGACACATTTTGAACATAATTCATTATATATACAAATTGCCTTTAATAAAAAGGCCTTATAGAAAGAATACATCTAACAATTTTATTTTCAATTATAAATAAAGTCTCAAATAATTGCTATTTCACAATCTAACATGTACAAATCTAAAAGTCGAAATAATTCATCTGTTCGTGATGCAATAATTTGTTCACTGCGATTTAAAACTTTCATCACGCCTATTTACAAATAAAATTGTATAATACGTCCAATTTAGCATGTTTAATGTATGGCACGCTTTTCGTGATTTTAAATAATAGAATTCAAGAAATCTTTCTATTTTTGAAAGTATTCTTAAAAAGTAGTTTTGATAATTATTTTCGGAAAATTCGGTAGTAATATTTGATTTCTTGATTTTCTATAACGCATTGATTTCCTTTTATAATGTGTAAATATGTATGTTTAAATGTTTTACATGCAATATATATATTTTTGAAAATGATTTCTCTTATCGCAAATTTTAATCAACTGTCTTATATGTATTATATATATATATATATATATATGTATATATTTGTTATTATTTTTTTCAAGATCGAGCTATGAAACCGACATTATTTTCGTTTATACCAATAATCAGTCGATTTTTAGATGAATAATATATATTGGCTAGTATTGTGCAATTACTTATGTTTTGTAAAAACATTAATTTCAAGTAATCGGCATGTGATGTATCTATCTGGTTTCTTGTTTATTCTTTCCAATTAAATATAATAGATTTTGCTTGGAATATATTCATTTTATTATATTTATGAGATACTTTAGCAATTACACAAAAATTAATTCCATTTATATATTCTCCTTTTTAATATATTTTAATATACGCTTTTTGATCGCAGATAATAATCGTATATTAGCAGCCATATGTCCCATTTAAATTTGAAGTGAACTAGCTTGAGCGAATCGCGTCGCAGATCACATGTTTCAATGCCCAATTAAATACGCGTTATCGAAGCAAGCTTTATGATTACTGTAGGGTATTATTGTCCCTCGATCTAACGAAAAGAGATTTGTTTCGGCTTCCGGTGAACGACGCGGTAATAGCGTTTACGAATCCGTGATTTAGAATTGGTATACTTACACAGTAGCATTGTCCAGCGTAATTGATTGACTGTTGATATCGTTTCCGTGATTCGTATGATGACCATTCAACTCTCCTTCAACGTTACCCTGATTATTATCCAATACAATTTTGTTTTCATTAATGCCGTTGCTATGCGTCGTGCCATTGTGCACTATATCCGGCGCAGGCAGGTTGTTTTCTGTGTGATGCGCACGTTGTTCACCGCTAATAAACTGCTGAGTCGCCTCGGAAATTAAACTGGCTGTCATGATGTCGTCACCTTTGCCGCCTAGCACCGGTTTGCTCTCGTCGTTAGGACTATCTTCCTTCAACTTATCACCATCACCACCTTCTCCCTACGCATATATTTATCATAATCAATTATTTTTTAATCTCATCAATTTATTTAAATAGAAAATCCTGTTTAGATGGAAATTATTGAATACGATTAAATAAATAAATTAAATAAATAAATAAATAAATATATATATATATATATATATATATATATTCATTTATTTATATTATTTATATTATATATTTGCTGAAAGATTAATATAGCTAATAATATACATAACATTACCTTAGGTGTGTTGGATTGATTTCTGCCTCTCGTTCTAAGCATAATCGCCTCAACTCGTTTGCGTCTAGCATTGCGCTCCTCTTCCTCTTTTTTAAGCCTCTCAGCCATCTCAATTCGTTGTCTATAATTTAAATATATGTAGATATATTATTCGTTATATATATCATAAATCTTTAAAATAGATAAAAGAGAAAGAGGATTTTTCATAAACTAACTTTTCTGCCTCTTCTCTTGCTTTGCGTTCTGCTTCTTCTTTTTCTTGTTTTTGACGAGCTTCCTCTTCTCTTTTTCGTCTGTCTTCCTCTTCACGACGCTTAGCTTCTTCGATTGCCAATTGCAATCGCTGTTCTTCTGCCTTTCGAGCTTCATTAGCTAAACGTATAGTCTCTTCCTCTAGGCGACGTTGCTCCTCCTCTTCTGCGCGCAATCTTTCAGCTTCTAGACGCGCTTCTTCTTCCTGCAAAAATTATTATTGTAAGATAAAAGTCAAGTAAATGTAATCTCAAATTGATTTATATAGATGATACCTGTCGTTGGCGTTCTAATTCCGCCTCTCGTTCCGCTTGTTCTCGCGCTAATCTTCTACGTTCGGCCAAAGCTGCTTTAGCTTCCTCTTCGGTAGTGATTCTAATTTTCGCGATCATCGAAGCTGTAAAGCGAATCATCAATAAAATAGATAACCGCTGTTAATTATCGTTGAAAACTTGTGACAAATAATCACTTGACTTCAATAGTTTTGATTAATCATACCTGACATATCAACCTGTTCATCCATTTCACTCTCGGGCTTGGTTTCAATCGTCTCTGTCGGTTTCTTTTCCTGCTTATTTTCTTCCTTTTTAACAATTTTCGGTGGTTCTTCCATAATAACATCTGACAGATTTTCTTGCATTAAATTAGTTTCATCTTTGACTTGTTTGCTTGTTGACACAGGCTCCATCGTTACCTTCGTGTCGTTAATCGTAGATTCAGCAACATTTGCTTCCTATTAAAAAATAAAATTTAAAAGTATGCTTTATTATATGTGATAAACAATAATTATATGTTTGAAAAAATTATATCGAAAAGTGATAAGAATATTTATTTCACTTTGAAGATGCAGAATAAAGTTGTTTATTCTAAGGAATCAATATAGAACAAAAATTACCTGCGTCTTCTCGGTGCCTTGATCCTTCTTCTCCTCGTTCTTATCCTCCAATTTCACATCATGCGCCTCCTTATCCTCATTCTGTTTTATGATCTCTGCGGTTGTTTCGCGGATGAGCGGTGCATGCTCAACTCCGGGACTTTGCAAAGGTGTCGCCTTCGGAGTTATTCGCGGTGATGACTTGGCGTTCTTGATTAATTTCTCCGTCGGTTTTTTTATCTCTGTTACTTTGGGTATAGAAGGTTTCTTTGGAGTGCTATGGACCTTTGGCAGTGGTGGCTTTGAATCCTTCGTTAGTTTCACGTCGCCCACTAGATCTACGATAATAGAAATAATTGACATACTTTTTCTTTTATGTGCGTATGAAATTTTTTATATACAATATTTACACGTGCAATTCTAATAGTCGATATTAGAAATGATATATACAAGAAGTTGGGGATACACAAAAAAAAGGATTCGTAAAAAAAATAAATAAAATTGTAAATCGATAAAAATTATTTAAGAAAGATATAAAGAAAAAAAATTTATATAAAATCGAAATGTTTTTATACAGTCTCTCTTCGTCACATCTTCTCAGATATGTATGATACACCGTGTACAATATATCGTACCCTTTCAGGACATATATACATATATTGTTGTATCTATGCCTGTTCAATACTTGTATATGTAATAATATATATAATTTAGATCATAGCTAAAACATTTATTTATCATTTATATTATCCTTTTTTTCTCGAATTATTCTAATATGTCATATTTTCGCTAATTTTCAGAATTTGACTTTCATAAGTTGTTTTTCTTCTTTCTTTTTAGGTTTCTGGCCAATCCTCGGTGGCCTGAAAGGGTCAATGGAAGTAAAATGAGAGAGCATGCTCACTGTGTTTCTCTGTGATCGAGACACCGGTACCGGCAATAGAAGCGGGCCGCGGTCGGCGCGACGCGGCCGTGCGGATACGCAGATTGACGTTACTGCTGCCCACGCTGCTGGCGCTCTGCTGACTCATGGAGCTGTGCGGCCGGGATGGGCTGTTGGGCGTCACTTCGCCGCTGCGGATACCTATGCGCACCCACCCAAGGTAAGTATATCTGTTGATCTGTTCTTATGTCGATTGAACGCGATCGCGCGATTCTATCTCTCGACAGGAAAGTATCGACGCTGTGAATAAATTCTCGTTTGTATTTTTCTCTCTTTTTTTTGACACTCTATCGAGATCGTATAGTGTTATGCTTGCTTGTGTTGTGACGCAAAGTGCAGCAGGCGAACATCGCAAGAAATCGAAACGCAAGCACCGCCACCGGTGTTCAAATGCTGTCGGTGAGAAAAGAAAATAATCGAAACAAAAGAAAATAAGCCAAAATGAAAATAAGAGAGAAATCAAATTTTAATTAATTGCGTAAAATAACAGGGTGAAAGAATTGCATAATTGAGTGGATTAAGTGGAGGAATAAATTGCACATTAAATACGAATACGATACTAAGTGAACTGCGAGATATGTAAGTTACGTGTAAGAACGATAATAGTAATAAGAAAACATGCAGCTTACCGAAACGTTAGCTCATACCTTTACCCTTGGTACCGAAAAGCCGCTGAGAGATCTTCCTTAGTAGGAGCGTTTTGTTAATCGAATTGCAGATCAAAGAACCGGTTGCATTAAAATCGGCTTGAATCAACAACTCTCAATTAATTTCTCTTTTTTCACATTGTTAAATTTATGTAAATAATTACTGACAAACTTAATTGTTTCTTAACTAATAGAATTAGCTCTTCCTTGATGCAACTGGCTCTTAATGTTAAAAATGTCACGTATGTTACTAGTAACATATTGTTAAAAAATTCGAAATTTTCGAAAAAGTCGATGGGTTAATCATCATGAAAAAGTATAACGGATGTGTAAAAGCATTAATATATTAAATTGAAATGTGAATTAATGTTTTGCGGCTTGAAATTAGAAGAAAAGAAATAGGGGCTTTCTTTTTCCTTCTATTTTCACGCTCCTTCTATTTTCTGGAATGAAGTCGTCCTAATTGATTCACAAACATTTTTTTACACTCTTTCATGCATGTGTGCACCCAACTCAAATCACGTTTTCTTTTTAGATACAACGAGTGCATTCACATGTATTTTATCTTTGATTAAACTTTTACTTAAGAGATCACGCTCCCAATTCGAAGACCATAATACGATCTAGCTTACGAAACTTATTGTCAAATAATGAACCCGACTATATACAACGAGAAAAGTTAACGAGAAAATTAGTGTAAAGCAAAACGAGTGATTAATTAAATTTCAGAAAGGTTGATCGCGGAGAAAATCGACTCTACATACTTTTACAAAATAAATTAACGTGTAAAAAATGTAATCTATCATCGAGCTATATATTTCATTACTTCGTCTATATATATTTCTACAGCGTCAAAAATAATAAAACATCTACGCTTTCTTTTTAAGCAAAAAAGAAATTTATCGATAGTTTATAAAAAAAATCGTGAAGGGACCGTTTCAGCTATTGTACAGAAGCTCGATTTGCGGTGGGAAATTGAGGGTCGATTTTGTCGAGTTGAGTGCACGGTCACCCTTAGCGCACTTACCTTGCTGGGCCTGTTGGTGCTCGCGGGCCTTGCGGCGGAGTCTCTCGGCGCGGGTGGGTCTGGGCATTGGCGCCGCGCCCGGCAGCGTGCCCATGCTACGCGAATTATCGGAACGCTTGAGGCTCTTGGTGCTTCCGGGCGCGGCCAAGTGCGACATGCTGCGGCTCATGCTAGAAGCGCCCTGCAGAGGCTGGCTCTGCTGCCGCTGCTCCGCGAGCGTGCCGAGTTGCTCGGTCGCGCGTTTCCTAGGCTGTGCCAGCTGATCCAGCCTGGACATGGAGTAAGTCCTACCTGGCGAGCGCGTGAAGGCCTTGGCGCTGAAACTGCGTGCCGTCGACGGCGGGCCGTCGCGCGGGGACGGTATCGTCGGCATCAGATCGGTGCGTCGCCTGTTCACTCGTAGGTAAACCGAGGTCGGAGTGCTGGGTGTGCCGCCATCGCTATCCTCACCTGCAAAGAATCTCGCTTAGGGTTGCCTTGTGTGTATCGCGACGCGATGGTCCGTCGATCCGCGCAGCGATTACACGGCTCGCTCGATGGAGACACACTCGAGTAAAGAGTTTCTCCACGACGCATCAACATCATTGACGTTTCCAGATTTTTTATTTTTATTTTTCTTTTCTCAATTCCGTTGCATAAATTGTGCTGCTTTGCTTTTCATGCTGTGACGTGTAGAGGGATACTGCGAAAGTACACTGACAGATGTTTTCCTCGCAACTGCGTGTGTTATGTAACTCTTGTTAAGCGTGTTCGTTTCTTTGTACGAAATTTATGAAGATATAAATCAAGAGTTAATGCATTTATTTGATGAACAAGGAAAAAAAGATCACAACATATATGTATTTTTTAAAAGAAAAATATTTCTTGAAAGAAATTTATTTAATGGAAAATATTTATGTTTTTCTTAAGTAAATTTTCTAAGTAAATCGCTATATATATTAAAGTGATATTATTAAAGTATCGAAATTTTATGTGTATGTGTGTGTGTGTGTTTGTATGTGCTGTATAAATTTTATATATAGAAGGAAATAATACGATATATATCTTATACGAGTAATATTAGGAAAGCGAAATAACATTTAATGTCACACATAATCAAATAATTCCTAAAAATACAACAATTCAATCCATGCAAGAATAAACTCGGTATTATTTATAACAATTTTAATCTATATCAAATCAACGATATAATTTTAAATTAAAATCTCAGTTTATTCTGGTATAGCGTAATAATATATCTTTACTGTTAAACTATAAATTAATTTTTTCTATAATGCAACTATAAATTATTATTGTATATAACTAATAATTTTAGATTGAGTATATAAAATCTCATAAAAGTTCTACAATGATCAAAGAACTAGTAATTTAACGTCATATTGATATGAAATGTATAAAATAAAATGAAATATTAAAGGATTGACAATCGTCCTATTAGACACGTATATTAACGATGATATTTGAAGACTATAGTTTCTAATTGTAAACTCTAATTTCTAAATTTCTTTCTCGACATCAGAAATTTCGCTTTCATCAAATCACATTTCAAATCCGTTTGGTAAAACTCATTAACAAGTGAATAAAATTATAACAATACCAGCTAAAATTTTACTTGCAACTAAACGTTAATAGTGTTTAATGGTCTACCCGCATGAATAACACAATAGATTAGCAGGGAACACAAAGGACAAATTAGCGGCACACATTGTTGCGTGATATTGGCTGCCATGTAGTCTCATTTACGAATGGCTATCGATGGTCTCTCGAGAAATCGCAGAATCCACCTGACCAATACCATACAACCTACGGAAAGGAAACTACAAGACAATTAATGAGAGAAAGTGCGCGGGTTATATGTTCTTACGATGTTAAATGAACGTAACATGCACTGATAGAGTATGCAGTGAGTAAAAACATAATGATGTAGAAAACATAATGGTGTAGAATGAAAGAGAGAAAGGGAGAGAATTTGAAATGAGAGTGTATGCTAAATAAAACGAGAGACAAGGATCGATAATATTCATTCTTGAAACGAATAGAACGGATCTCTTCCAGCATTTTTGCAGGCTTCTGAGACATCAGGACTCACCACTGGCAGCCCGCTGAATCATGGGACGCCTAGCGTCGCTATCAGACTTATCATCGACGGCAAAGATGTCGGTTGTGGGGGGCAGAGAGAGGCTGGCTCTCTTATGCTTGGCAGGAGTTAAGGGAGGATCGGGGCTAGAATTCCAATTGAACACCTCGTACATGGACGAGGACATTCTCATATCTGCAAACAAACCATTCAACGCAACGCAAATATATTAGGTATTCCGCGAAAATTTTATTTATTCGAGCGATTGGACGAGAAAAGAAATAGAAAGCATGACTACATCAGCATAAGTTAGATACGGTTGTGAATTGTACTTTCTTATTTCAAATATATACAACATTTGGTTTTTACAAAACCACCACCGATAATTACAGATGATAGCAAAGCGAAGATATACAGGGAGAGAGGAAATTCCCATAATTATTGTTTAATTATTGTATAATTATTGTTAAAAAATTATTGTTTAAATTCTTTAAGTATTTTATGTTTCTTTCTTCTTTTCGCATAATATTCAAAATGTTATTTCCTTGAAACAAAAAATAAAAAATACGTGTTTGCGCATAGGGAAGAATGAATGAAGATGTAGCGTTTTCAGGAGAAATGCTGATCGAGTAATCTGTGTGCAGTGTAAACAAGAAAAAAATAAAAATATCAAAATGTATCGCGTTAAAAAGCAAAACTTGCAACTTATAACTTATCGCGGGATTCAAAACGTTCTCAAGACTCGCTGTGTAACCAAACTTAAGCTGAGAAATACATATACACATAGATTCGGTATCGTTTAAAGGGACACTGTCACAAGAATATACACTGTAACAGGATAAGCTATAGAGTGTAAACCTGAAAATAAAAAACTAAAAAGGTAAAACGCTGTAGAGAAGATCACGTTCTAACAGTGCTGGACAATCGTTCTTTCATGCTTCGTAGTGACTTCATTACGAATGTAGAGAAACTTGGTGTGACGATGATTCTCTTTTTCTCTCTTCATATATAATTATCGTCACACATTTATTAAATGTGTTAACAATTGTTATAATTATTAAAATTATCATAAATTATGATAATTTGTGATAATTTTAATCGTACTAATTGTTATACATTTTAATAGACATAATCAATTATTTAAATCACTTTCTACACTACTTTCCATGTTATAATAACATGGAGAGATACACAGATTTTTTTCACGGCGAGTACACTGTGAAAATTTTGTTTATCATATGTGCATCTTCCGCGATAAAGTTTCTCTCTACTTTGTACACAGCGGTATCGATTACCGCTAAGAAAAATATATTGCTAAAGGTATCGGAAGCGATCGTGCGTAAAGTATGGGTTACGACAAGATGCGAGCCGCTTCCTTGTGCAGTTTATCTGGGTAGCTCGACGTATCCCAGCATTGGAGTAAGTGACGTAGAAATATTCTCGCAACGATGATGCGATTAAATGACACTATCCCACGTGAATCCGCGATAGAAAGAACGATTGTAAATCCAAACGATAAACATTAATCATCGATACATACGTGGAATATATTCGAACAAATAGGGTGAAGCAAGCAGAAGGGAACGAGCTGCGATTCGCTGGCACGATTTATATTCCTTCAGAATCGTGAAATTTATTCTATTTTATGATTTACGTATCATAAAATTTTTCCCTTCGATATTTAACTATCTTAGAATTTAACTGTGCTGATCACATAGTTTACTTCATTAATTTGTTTCTTATCTTATACTTTAAGATATTTCTATTTTACAAATAATATATATAATCTCTATGAAAAAGATTAAGTCACGAAAAAAATCGCCATAAAATATATTTCATTCAAAAGTGATTTAATTAATGCTAATCATTCGATTTTTTTCTATTAATCTTTCCCGTTTTACGACACACAATAATACCTTACGTGATTCGATTCGTATTTATACTCACGTTGAAGTATACCAAATCCACTTCCGAGCCGTTCATCGTGCGTGTTCGCATCAAGGATCGTTGATTCGACTGAATTTACGGTAAACATTAATTTGCATTCCACCGGTGTACGGTGCAATACCAACGCGTGTATTATTCACACTTCATGTGCGAAGTACGGAAAAGTACTTTAACGCTTTCAGCGCTGCTGCCGAGCCATTTCATAGTATATACATATATATTACACGCATATTTTATGAGATATATTTCTTATATCTCATAAACGTTATACGTTTCAATCTTTTTGTGATAAATCAAGTATAGCATGCGTCATATTACATTTATGGTCAACTGCAAGCATTTCGATACGAATAGTATGTGGCAAAGTTTACTATCTCTAAAAAAATGAGCAGAAGATAATTAAAAATCAAATTTAAAATATATATTGACATTCGTGTGATAACAGAATTTTAGAGAACAAAATTATTACGTGAACATTGATTGAAACAAATATAAATCGAAATGTAGAATGCGGAGATAAATCATTCAGAAATACTGCAGATTGTATCAGAATCGACTGGAGAATCTCTCTCTCGAGAATTTCTCGCAAAATAGAACGCTTAAGCAGCATGCAGCGAGTCTAACACTGCGCGCTGAAAGGGTTAATCGAATTTCCATGTGCGACGTGTACAGTTACATGCTCATCAACGATCGTTCTCGGTTGCTCTTTGGTGAACTTTGGTGAATTCGATTTTGGTCTATGGAGAAATATAAATCGACTGACCTTCGCCGGGCTTCCGATCGAGTCCGCCGGCGGAAGTGGCCCGTTTTTTGCTGCCGTCAAGCTCCCTCTCGGAGGACCTCCTAGTGAGAGGTTGCGCCGCAGAGAACATCATGACATTGGTAGTAGAAGTAGCCCTACGAGTGCCCCAGAAAGTGGAGCCGCCAGTGTCGGCGGGTTCCAGCATTCGTGGTGTGGAGCTACCGAACGCGAAGACAATGTGAGATCTTTCGTTCTTCCTCTTTGCCTCGATACGCGCCTCTCTTTCCTGATTCTTGCGAAGGATCGCTTCCCGTCTTTCTCGTTCCGCCTCGCATATCAGCCGTTTTCTCTCCTCCACTTGATTTCGTCTGCGTAAAGAGAAACAAAATGAATTTGTCTAAAACGCCTATCATTCAAAGCTGTTCTTGCACGAGACTTTAAATTCCGCTCTCACGCGATGCAATATGATTTTAAAGACCGACAGGAATAAAACGAGCTATATTCGATGTTTTGACGAAAGGCTTGAATTGGTCGAAGCCTCCATTAAAGTAATCACGAGTAAAATATTCTCGGCACCAACGAACCTGTCGTTGTCACGCGATCGGAGCTCGTCGATGCGTCTTCGTCGTTCCTCTTCACGTTGCTCGCGGAAACGTTGCGCGGCGAGGGCCTGTTGCCTGAGCTCCTCCAACTTCCGCTGCCGCTCCTCGTTCTGCCTCTCACGGACAAGCTTCGCCCTGTCCAACTCCTTCGAGCTTCCCGTCGACTCCCGTCCTGTGAACAGTCGTGTCAAAAGAACGTATTCAGTATACGTCCGTTTAAACTAGTTATAAAGCTTTTAGTTTGTACTGGTTGCTTCCCACGAGCAAGAAAACTCGATTAAAGATAAATGTATCTTCTTTTAAAATATTATATACAATTTTTATTCTCTCATATATTTAGAAATTTCAAGTTAAGCAAATTTAAATAAAAGTTTGTAGAATTGTCTATCGAAAAATGACCTCAAATCATAGACAAATAAATGCGATCGGAAAATTTTAATAATTTCAATTTATTTTATTGGATAAGTTTATATCGCATACATAGTAATTATATTGAAAAAATTGCACTATGTTAGCTAAGATTAAAGAATAAATAAGTAGATAATAAAAAAATTTAATGCTGTGATTAAAAAAATTAATTTATCAAAATAAATGCTATTTGATAAGCAATTAACTATTAAAAATAATTTATATAATAAAACAGGGAATATAGAGGAATAAAATAATTAGGGGAATGTGCTGACCTCATCTCACTGCTCACTAGAAAAGAGAGTTTATACATCAAGATAAAAATAACTATTTACAAAATGTACAATCCAAAATAAAATAGTTCTGTAATTCAGAACATTGCAATATATAATATATGATGTCCTAAAAATAAAGTGTGTCTAATGAATAAAGGTTTTTACTACAGGTTATTATTAGATATAATATGCAAATGAATAACTATCCGTTATTTATTAAAACTGTTGAAGGTGTTAAAAACCAATGACTCGTTAGTGTCATCGAAATAAGAAAAGGAGTCTAGTGAGAAGAAAAGGAAAATGGTCTGTACAGTGCCCTTGAAAACGTTGGTACCTTCATTCTCATAAGGACGATCGCCGTCGAGGGAATCTTCATCGTAGAGACTTCGCCGGCGCTTCACATCTGCCGAGAAGAAAGTGAGAGTGCGTGTGCACGTAAGATTCGAGATTAAGATTGTAGCATGTACGAATGAATGAATGAATGAATCAATGAATCAATGAATCAATGAATTTAATAATTGAGTAAATGGATAAAAGCATGAGTATTGGCAGATATCTGCGTGTATGCACGATTACAATGAATAGTTACATGTGACGTATAGTTGATGAAATTAATGCAAGATTGAGGATAAAAAAATAATGAATATGTCATTTGATGTTAATGTCAATATTTGATATCAGAAAGTTCTGTTAATTTTTCTGCAACATGTAAGTACAAAGTTTCATTAATAAAATAATTAAAATTAATTAAAAATGAAATAAAGAAAGGGAAAAGAATAAAATAAATCCATAAATCTCAATTATGATTATTGTTTTAATATTAGTGGGCATACAGTGCATTGGACTTGAAGCGTTTCTCTGCTCCTAATTTCAACTAGAATAGTCTCTGTGATATATTTCTATTTTATATAAAACTGTGATATACTTCTATTTTATAGAAAAATTCCATTTTCTTTAAGCAGCGATTTTTCATTATGTTATTTTCATCTACTTTTTCATTTCTTCTAAAAAGATAATCGGACTGTATGAGAAGATTGCAGCTGTCCAAAGACTCGCAATCACAGACAGCGTTTATTTTATAAGCAGGAAACGAAGTTATCGTTGCCCACGATATATAGCAAAATCCTTTCCACTGAAAGCGATATTAAAAAATTAGATGCGCAAAGAAAAAGCTTCTTTCAAGGGATGAGATCTACGTAATAGCGAAAAAATTGCGCGTCGAATTTAGACCTTATTACATGGATCAAAGGTTAATACTACGCAGAAAGTTTTTGAAAATATGCTCGGTATTATTTTTGACAGGATTAAAAAGAAATCCTGACAGGAAAAAGAAACAGCGTTAGAATTTACAGAAAAAGATATATATATGTGTGTGTGTGTGTGTGTGTGTGTGTGTGTGTATAAATGTATATAGATATATAGATATATATTTATAAATATATTTCATTATGAAATATATTTATAGATATATTTCTTATATTTATAGATATATTTCATTATAAAATGAATCATTAATATTTTTAGAATTCTCAAGGAGGATTATTTCCATAATAATATGGAGTCTTATCATATTTATTATATTTAAACAGAACGAATACGTGTCAGATGTATGCAACAGTATTTCTTATATTGCAAATCTTTAACATTGATTAGATTCACAAACTCATCAAAGGATTAGCATTAAAACTGGAAGATATTAACAATTATGTCAAATGTTCATTCCATTAAAAAATTACACGACTCGTTAGCTTTGTTACATGATCTTCCTGTAGAATGAATTGGCTGTTCATGACTTCCGCAGTCGCGGCCAATGGCGTATGCTGACGAAAAAATCGATGAAAATGTTTGAAATTAGCTTTGTTAAACAATCCGGTTACAGCAGCTTGACAGATCTATCTACGCAATTGGGAACTACAATACAGCATCATTCTGTGGTCAGTAGTCAGAAGAACAAACGTGTCATATATCACGATCCACATTCAGGCATTTAATATTCATTGTCAGACGTGATTATTCCATCCTCATGCCGTATTTACAGCCAGTTAAATCCGATCTTTGCAAATAAAGTTTTACATCTGGAGTTGTCACGTTTTCCAGCTAAATAAGGGCATTAATACGGGTATAAAAGGGCTTAAATTCAGATAGCATTAATCTTTTTAATCGTAGTATCAACATTTTAATTTCAAAGTGCAGTAAAAGTGCATATATTAATATTTTATTATTAACATGTATATATCATACAGATTTTTTTTTGATAACGAACAAAGATTCACGATCTATTATTTTTTATTTCATGAGTGGTTACTTTTGAAAGATTAAATGTGTCTCTACACATGAATGCGTTATGTAACGAATTGAGATGCAATCTCATTGTCAGTTTGTCCTCGACAAACAATCAAATATGATTGTTCTTTTTATATTGCAAAAAAAGGGAGAAAGAAAATAGAATTCCGCACCACGATACACACAAACGTTAGAACACGTTGATCAATCCGAGGGCATACCTGACAAAGCGAGGGAATCTTGGTCACCGCCGATCTGCGCGAACCAGTGCATTGTTTGTTCTGCGGAAGATAAATTCAAAAAGATACACAACTCTCTGGATTATCGCGTATATAATGCTCAGCTTAGTCGTGCGATAAATATGATCCTTGCGTTGATGAAGAACGCACGATTATGAATTTAATAAAAGACGACGAGGTAATCAAAGTATATTGTTAATAATGAAAAAGAGAATCGATTCTAATCACTATAATTTATCCAAAGACGACAATTATCGTGCGTGTTATATTGCTCGATACTTATTCAATCGTATTTCGGTAATGAAGATTATTTAAAATTAAATATTTGATTACGCCATGTACGTCTCCTTGGGGAAGCTTATTTAGCGATAATTAAATTGCTCCGAATAAATCTGTACGTCTTTCTCTCTGCAATGACGCAAACTCATTAATAAATTTCTACGTTTGAAATTAAATTTTCGTCGAGTGATGAAGTATCGATCGGCAGCTCGTTATCTCACGCATACAATCGGTGCCAATGAAGTCGTTCGCTATACACCCGATATCGTTTCAATCCGATAGGAGTTTCACTCTCTCTTGCATTCGTTGCAATATGGCTGGCTTATTTTCGTCCTTCGTCGAGGATCCGCTTTCGACGAGCATCAATAGGAATGACTGCCGAACTGCCAATGTGGTTTCCGATTGCTGATTGCAAATATCAGGTGGATGGGAAAGAGTGCGAAAATAGAGACGGTAAGCCCACCGCTAATAATTGGACATGTCATTAATAATGCGAACGCGGAATCAAACGGAAGCGAGGAAGATCAGAATGTAACATAAAAAAATATTTCGAGTAGAGTATATTGTAGAGATTCTCGAAAATAGCGCTGGATTTTTCAAATAATGTGCGATAGAATTTCTTTTCTTTTATCGAAGAAGAGAGGAAGATTCATGTGTATGTAATGTAATTTGGAAGATGGATTCGTATCAAATTATTGAAAACTCGATATTCAATGAAGTGGTAGATGATCGTTCGAGTATTCTAAAATTAAAAACTAAAGAATCGAGAAATGCCGGATATGATAAATTATCTGGTTCAATATATCATTGTATCACTTAACATTTATGGGAAAAATATCGAGTATTTTATATTCTTCAACATTTTTCAAAGTCACAGATTATGGAAGCAGAAACATGTTATCGTTCGTACCTGTGTGCTATTGCATCAAACTTTTATCAATAATTCATCTTTTTAAAGACTACATTAGTTAAAAATGATTGGCACAATTTCTCAGTATTTCTTGTAATTAATTTTGAATTGACATTTTGCAATTAGATACAAAATAGTCAACAAATTGATTAATATGATATAAAAAAAATATTATTAATAAATATTAATACTATAAAAAATATAATTAATAATAAATTAATATCTTAATATTAAATTAATATGATACACAAAAGACTGTGCATATAATCGCACTTTTGCAGATTAAAATGGCGAACAAAAAACTCCTGTTTCGAGTTTCTTCCTTTTCGCTCATTAATCAAAAAGATTTCATCTGCTGATTGTGAGAAGTATGGAATTTTGAAAGATCATAGCATATAGATATGTCATTTTGTCATTTCGTCGGAGGATATAATCGTGCATCGTCCAGTATTGCATGTAGTTCCTGAAGCAGTTAATCTTCCGTTGTTCGAAAATGCATCGACGTACAATGCGGCCTGATCCATTCATCTCTCTGAAACCTGTCTTCCGCACGATATCGCTGTTAATTCTCCCGTTTTTGACGAATGAGTCGGAATAGTAAATAAAAAACAGCGTATATAGTCGCGTTAAATATAATGTGCAAATAATTTGAATTCAATAAGATATCAAAATGCTAAAAATGGACTATAAAGTAGCATTTAAAAAAACATACATTACAGTGTTATTAATTCAATATATTCACAAACTTCCAGAATGGAAAAATACATTTTAATTAAGAAATGATAAACTCAGAGAATGAAAAAAGAAAATATAATCTATAGATGTTTAGGTTTAACAAGACTTAAAAAAAAATCTGCTCGTTAATGAACGCGAAAAAGAATTTTTGACAAATAACTTGCAGCGCGTGCATGATACTGTTGTAGACCGATATTCGTTAAAATTCATTCCTGCGATGTTTACAGCCTCGCAACTGCGAGAAAGATAGATAGACGGAGAATAAAGTAACAGAGACAATTTAACGAGTGACACAAGTATGTCGTATATTGTCGCCCGAAGGGATGCACTTGTGCGAATCGGTGTATCTATCATGCAGCTGCAGTCGCGGCCTCCATCTTGGAGGCTCAAACGCCGGAAAATCCGTCGGTGGATATACACGGCTCTGTTAATCTCCCTTCGTGTGGAAGTGGGTCGGGAAACAATGGGATCCGTCTCTCCCATCTCTTGCCGCCTTCGCCACGAAGATTGTGTGTCTTTCCATCTTCCTCCTCCTACACCTTCCCCCCTTTCCCTTCTTTCCATCTCCGGCTTTTCTCAAATCCACCATTCATCCGTTCGACTATCCTATCTCGTCAACCTTACTCGAGTGGCGGTATAGAATGCAAACAGATACGGGTTTTAAGGTTCGTGAATGATCTATGAGGAAGTGTTGACGCGCAACTCGAATAACGAGGTCCTCTTCGATGATCATGTCTTTCATTTGGTGAAGCGATAATTATCGCGTAGGTCAATACGATAATACTCTTATAAGCATATAAAATGCATGTCTATAGAGGAAAAAATTATGTTGCTAAAAATAAATCATACATCTTTTATTTTTAGTAGGTGAAAATAATTTTAGTAAAATTTTTATTTTAAATCATAATTATTTTTTTATATTTTTAGTTAACATATGTATTAGCAGATGAATTTGATTTTGTACATTTCATACGTATTAATTTTTTTAGATTTTGCGCCTCATTAGTTTTATTTACATATTGATTGTATTCAAAATATTTTACGAAATATGATATTAATTTTTTATTTAACTAATAATATGTAATTATTATAAATCAAAAGAAATCGTGTCTATAATCGTGTATATATATATTTTGATAGAAGCCAAGGAAGTGGATGATGTTTAAAATTCCGCTTCTATTCCCGAAGGGGTGCTACTGTTTTACTAATATTTAACGAACAAGCGTACTTCTTGAGCGTCGTTTACATTTCGAATTTAAAGTCTCAACAATTCCCCGTCTTCTGGTTAAATAAAGGTGCTTTAAACACTTTACAAGTATCTTGCTAGTTTTCAAACGGGAACAAGCGGCCCGAGGAAAGATATACATACGAATATTTTTTCTGGAAGCGATGTTTTTCCATCTTCTTCTTCTCTCTCATTTTTCTCTGATAATATTCGCTTTTAAAATGTTACGAATCTCATTATATTTTCAATTATATATAATTATAAATATGTGCATGTAAATTAATATCATATTTAATAAATTAGCCGAATAACACAAATACACATTTGTTCAACGCATCGAACTTGTTAAATCAGATTTAATTACGTTAGTCATTGAGACGTATCAAATTAAACATTGTGCAATAAATTGCACATCCTTTCCTTTATTCGAATTTAATTTTTGATGCATTGCTAGCGCCAAATGAAGAATTTATTAACAATTCTGCAGGCGCTTTTCGCAATTGATTAAACTAACGGCTTCTCTCGCAAAAGCGTGAGGCGTAATTTAGGTATTATTAAATCCATTTGGCCCGTTTTGCCAATCGAACTGGGAGAATTGCATTCGTTATCTACCACGACCCAGAAGTCATACTTTGGATTTGTCGCGATTCGATAGTGCTTTCGATGCCACCGCGGATTGGAAAGTGGTTTCCCGCGCGAGATTAATATCGTTATCGACTGGAATATCGGTGACGTAGCAATCTATAAATGTTACTATAAAGATTCATCGAAAACTTTAAATTTATCTGAGATACTTTACAAATTGTTTATTCTCGTGCAATTTATCAAAATGGTTCCAATTATTGTTTGAATAAATTGTAGAGAAACTTTATAATTTCATAAATTTTTACTATTTAAAATAATTAATAGAATAATTAATATATGCTAAATATTACATATCGTTTATATGCTAAATATTATATATTGATATAATTGATACAGAAATGAACATAAAGAAATACAAATATATTTGTTTAAAATTATTAAAGTTATTAATTTTTATTTTTAATACTTTTTTTTAATAATTTGCGTGTAATAATACATATTAATGGATATAGTGATACTATATCACAACAATATTCATTCTCCATTCAATAAGCGTTTTATTATTTTTCTGCATCTTAAAAATGTGCTTGAAATGTCAAGTGTTTTTCCAGATCTCTCGAATAAAAACTATCTGTATGTTTGTACATGACTGAATCATTATTTGTACCACAAATAGATGTTCAGGTTGTGCTCTCTCAAATATCACAGAAACATCGGTGAATGCAGAGCGTGATATTAAAAAGTACATCGTGCTCAAATCCACCGTGTAAATGCCACCATGAAAGATATCGTCGAGTGTCATACTCGATATGAAGTAATGAAAAGTTCTTGAAAAAGGCCGATACTTTATGTCGACACAAGTCAGCCAGGAAACATAATTGAGCCAGGATAGAAATAATTGAAAGAGAGAAAGAAAAAGAGCAATAATCTTACAATTAGAGAAATTAAATAGAGCATTAATTAACGAGCATTGTGTTGTATTAATTCTATAATAAAGATATTGGTTGGAAATGATGTTTCGCACAGCTTTTTATAAAATATTATAATATTAAAGATTGTTCCAATTAGATTCACTTTTATTAAAAATAAGTAATATTGATTCGTTTCGAGATACAACACACTGATCTTTTTTGCTCGACATAATGTAATGCTTGATTACAGCAAATAAAAGTGCCCTAAATTATTACATTCACCAAACTTACCCTTCGTGAGAGAGTGGCGATTGTGTGCAGAACTGGACCTTTGGTTAGTTTCCTCAGGAGCGGCTCCAGCTGCAAGAGAAAATTTCTCACATAAAACAACTTTCTTCATTGATATTCCTTGGTTATTAAAGGCACAAGTGTATATTATGGCATAGTGTATAAAAACTTAATTAAAAGCACTCTACGATACAGTTTCGAACGCTTCGAGCATCTTGTACTAGTGTATTAATATTCTAGTACACCCTGATCAATCCCTCTTATAGTGGTAACAACTGGTGTCGTATCATGGAAGGCATAGGAAGCAGGAAATTTAATCAAAGTTACTATTTATCGCGATTAAATTCTGAATTTGATGTATAATTATCGATTAATATTTGGAAATTGATTGTGTATTATATCGAATGATTCATAATCTTAAAAGTAATTTTGAGATATTTTAATTTCTGAAAGTAAAATATCGCGATTAAATTCTGAATTTGATGTATAATTATCGATTAATATTTGGAAATTGATTGCGTATTATATCGAATGATTCATAATCTTGAAATTAATTTTGAGATATTTTAATTTCTGAAAGTAAAATATCGCGATTAAATTCTGAATTTGATGTATAATTATCGATTAATATTTAGAAATTGATTGCGTATTATATCAAATGATTCATAATCTTAAAATTAATTTTGAGATATTTTAATTTCTGAAAGTAAAATATCGCGATTAAATTCTGAATTTGATGTATAATTATCGATTAATATTTGGAAATTGATTGTGTATTATATCGAATGATTCATAATCTTGAAATTAATTTTGAGATATTTTAATTTCTGAAAATAAAATATCGCGATAATATTATGAGCAAGCGAGAAGCAAATTTCCGAAATTTGTCGTTGAATGCGAGAAAGTTTTACATGTCGCTTTTAATCACAAACAAGTTCAAAATGTCGGCGACTGAAAGAGGCGAGACATTCATACGCGACGTGAAGAAATTACATTACACAGACGAGTATCGAGCGATACAGGGAGCATACTTGGTGCACTATGCGCACACGTGTATACGGTGGTTGAACTCTGACATTTCTCGCGCAGAGAGGGATTCTTGCTCGAAGACATTCACCGATTCAATTGGGTGGAACTCGGGCGCGTATTCGAGTCAATGAAAAGATTCGATATGCAGCCTCGTATCCTCTGAATGAGGCGTATCTCGAGCGTAATTTATTTTGAGACTCCAGTGGATCTCGTTCTTATTTGTGCAGATTCCGAGAACTTTTATTGCTACCTGACTTCAACCGTGATTACAATCGAAAAGCAAATGGAGCAGAGGATGATCATATTTTTTAAAAGAGCCGAGCTATTTGAATAAATCGATTTCAATATAAGAAAGTTATTTTTCAAATACAAACCAGCAATATGTTTTTTTGTATATATTTTGATATATTTTATTTGATATTTTATTATGATATATTTTAAAAGAAGGCAATAGCATACAAATATATACACATGCATAATTAAAGAATGATGAGATGTTTACAGTTAATAGGAAATTATATATCGCGCGCGTTATTTTTCTTTCTAAAATATTAAAATTAATATATATCCAAATTTAAATATCTCTCTTAAAATATTAATAAAGAATAATTAAATTATTATAGTAGACAAATCAATAGTTTTAATTCAGCGATTTATTTAAAAAAACCTAAATTATTTCCTCGTATCTGCATAAGAACGATGGAAAGAAAGACTTGCAGTCTAATACGAGATAAGATTTTGAGTGATAAAACGAGAAGAGGATAATTCGAGTCGGCGGTAAATCTTCCTTCCTATACAATATGCCGTAGTTTAAAGTATCGGGCGGTGGATAATGGCACAGAACAACGTCAGATGAGGACGCTAACGATAATAATATCAGACGCTTATGGGGAAGAAAAAGCATTTTATCGCGTGTCGTCGTCGTTCACCATCGATGATGCTCTTACGAGAACAGCTCTCGAATTAAATTCGCGCTATTAAGACATTGTCTAGCGATAATGAGAATGGATGGGGCAAAACCCTGATCAAGATGATGATCCAGAAACACCGTTGAGACATAATCTTCGCACCGACGTGAAAGAAAAAGCGAAGTAAATGATAAACCGAAGGGATTCTTTGTGGATTAAAGACACGAATGTGTCGGAGGTACTTTGGAAAGTGTCGCGACGATTTGTCAGGATTTGAAAGAGAAGCTGTGTTAAAAGGAGGGTTCAAAGAACTCAAAGGCGATGTTTAACGACTTCTTTCACTGTTGTGTCGTAAAGTAATGGCTGGATTTACGCTCATCGACACTTGAAGATGTATAGATATTTACGCTACTGTTAATTTTGTCAGTGAGTTAATAAATAAAAGTAATTTTTCATTAATTCAGATTTAAATCTTGATTTACGAGGATGCATATCAATCGAAATAAAGATGTATACGATGAATGAAAGACGGAAATAGAGTAGTATTCCATAATTTATAAAATTCTTAAAGCGTATATTAGAAATTATTAATTTATTCTCTCAGAACATAACATCCGCAGATCTAAAGGCATTAGCATCGCTGCCAAATCCTTAGAAAGCCTTGTACAAAATCTCTAAATATTTCTACATTTCCAGCCTGTTATCCCGAGGGACTGAATCACGAGAGGCGAATCGAAATCGCATTTAGCGTGTCACCAAGAGCGCAAACGGCATCTCACGTGAATTTAAATGTACATTTCGAAACTGTAGCGAGAATACGTACCGGGATGGAAGAAAACGGCAGTGCAGAAATAAACACACGCGAACTCTTGCATCTGCATAACGAGTAGTACCGCGTGACACTACGTAATCTCACGATTACGAGAGAGAATCGCGAAGGTGATCACGTCGTCGCTATCTGACTGCATCTATTTGTGCAAGGATACTATGTGAAAATGCTCACCGGTGAGAAACTGTAATTCACAGCTGGTAAAGATTTAAGGATCTATTCGAATTTAAATGTACGCCGAGGAGATGCATAAAAAAGCTCTATTTTAAATTTATAAATATTTTTTCTCTAAATATTGCTGTGAATATTATTTAATATTCAAATTATTGTGCCATTTATATAAAGACATATTAAACGATAATTTAGTTTATATATTAAAAGATAATTTCTTTTTCATAAAAGAGAGAGATTCACAGGCGTGACTGCGATAACTTAATTATTCCTTCTATTCATTTTGAAAAAATAATCCGACTTTCGTGCAAAATTGGAAATTTTTGGACACACAAAAGCTAGCGGCATATATCAGGCCGCCGTGGCATTTCAATTTTTAAATGGAGTCTTTTGTGTTCCTACGCGAAAGCTTGCCTGGAGGTACTTTCGGGATGTGTTCTTATCGCATCTCGACAGTCAGAGTTACACCCTCTCTACATTGCTACTTAGAGAAAAAATGGGAGCATTTACCAGTGCTCATAAATTTTCGAACATTCTCATGCAAAGTAATCTGAAAAGACTAAAGGTGATATATGCATATCTGAAAAAATTCGGACGATATATTTTATTTAATAGAGTTTCAAAATGTTCAAATAATGTTAAAAGTCTTTTTTATGCAAAACCAGCTAGAGTTCGAATCAGATAAAAGAAAAAAAAATATTGGGCAAATATAGAAAACACGTACAAATATAAAAATAATAATTCTGTTATTTCTAGCCGAGTATTACGTGAATAGCGATAAGAAACTTGGTTTCTTGCGTTATGTAAGTAATTACCGTGTAAGTGACAGACCGATTTGCATAAATCTTGTGACGAAGACTGTACAATTAATACCTACCAATACGAATATGCGAAAATATCGAGTTATAATGCGAATTAAGTTCTTACTTCGCTTCCTGAAGTTACGTGATAGCAGTAGTCAGATTCATTTGCAGATTGTTATAGAGATCGGTGATTATCTGGCTATGTTGCGTATACTCGAATGCACTTCAAGGTCTCAAGAGCAAACGTTAGCGGCCGTTTAACTACTTGGTAAATACACGCTAACGCGTTTAGCACGTTCCGATCATTCGTATATACGTACATACCAGGTATATAACGCGGCCGAAACGCGAATCAAACGCTTTCAGACTGGTTTTTTAACGTTTAATAATCTCTACACAAGAGTAAAGAAGTCTGTATTGCTTAAACAATCTATGAAAAATGATAAGTTTTATTAGTTTAATTTTTTTACAATATTCAAACGATTCTTGAGTGAAAGATTTGAGAAAAGATCCTATTATCATATTCAAATTCTGTAAAATTGTGCATTTAAAATAATATTCTATTTATTTAAATACTACAAAATTTGCCAGATTGTAGCTTTATTTGACACAAAATTCACAATTATATATATATAAAATATCGGCAATAATTTTCACAGCTAGATTTAAATAGCGCAAATTATGATAGAGTCGTTCAACTTTAATCTTTTTCCTCAATAGCATTAACAGCTGATTACGCCCATGTAATCGGAAGTCTTGCGAATCGATATAATGAATTTGTATTGGCCAATTTATTGATACGCCGAAGAGAGTTAATTATTTAAATACTACAAAATTGACCAAATTGTAGCTTTATTTGACACAAAATGCACAATTTTATGGAGAAAACATCGGCAATAATTTTCACAGCTAGATTTAAATAGCGCAAATTATGACAGAGTCGTTCAACTTTAATCTTTCTCCTCAATAGCATTAACAGCTGATTACGCCCATGTAATCGGAAGGCTCGCGAATCGATATAATGAATTTGTATTGGCCAATTTATTGATACGCCGAAGAGAGTTAATTATTTAAATACTACAAAATTGACCAAATTGTAGCTTTATTTGACACAAAATGCACAATTTTATGGAGAAAACATCGGCAATAATTTTCACAGCTAGATTTAAATAGCGCAAATTATGGCAGAGTCGTTCAACTTTAATGTTTCTCCTCAATAGCATTAACAGCTGATTACGCCCATGTAATCGGAAGTCTTGCGAATCGATATAATGAATTTGTATTGGCCAATTTATTGGTACGCCGAAGAGAGTTAATTATTTAAATACTACA